GTGAACTTGTTTTGAGTGTCTTCTGTCTCATGTAGTAGTCACAATGCCAAGAAGGCAATATTATTAGTTTTTAGGCTTTGGTTTAAGCTATATTGATGCTTCACCTCTTACCTTAAATATACTTTGAATTTTTCCATGATTCCCCTTAGCTAACCATCCACAATGATTTCTTTTTCAAGGAAAACTTCTTTTGCACTTGATGCAATAACCTTCTACCACTGAAGCCCTTACAGAATGCTAATCTTTTCTCTTAATGACTTCAAAATCATCTCTTACGATCCTTTACCCACGACTTTTTATGAGCGAGTAGCTCTCTGCTCTGGGAATGTCATCTCCATTACTAACTGTAAAAAGTGGTGCTTATGTATCCCACACCAATAGTGAAACACAATCAAATAAGAAATAGTGGCTAGATATTAGACACTGAGCACAGCAAAATGGGCACACTGAATCTTCAGTAATTGTCAGAAGAACACAGCTTATTGAGAAGAGATCCAATTTCACCAGAACACAAAATTTTAATTTATAATTTAGCACTAAGGAGAAAGAGAAAAGGCAGCTTAACATACACTCCCAATGATAAGGCACCCTATGTTCCCATGGTTGGTAAAGATATTATACCAAAGTACAATTTGAATGTTCATGCAGTACATGAGTACTCACACATTCAACCCTACATATACATGAAGAAGTGCCATCCACGTTACATTATTGATGTTCTAGTTACCAGTTCCTAAAAGTTGAGTGCTCATTAGATTGAAAAAGTCCTCTAATTTGTGATTTTCTGGTTTTGCATCTCAATTTCTCTAGTGGGGGTACTTGTATCGCACCCATTACAAGACCCCTCTGCAATATATTTGCCCAAATCAGTGCACTCGAACTCCAGCAGAAATTATCCAACAGCGTGAGCCAGCTTGGAATAAAAGTCTGCCTTGCTGTGAAAGAAGACATTACTCCACCAGAACTATCACTCTCATTGCTTTTATCTTCTCTTTATTTATTTTTTAATGGAAGTAAAAACCCCTGTCATCTCACCTACTCTTTTAATAAGGAATGACTGCCGTGACTACCCCCATCTAGAACCACCATTCACTGCCAGCACCTCTGCTCTCCTCATGTGCTTAGAGAACAACTGATTAGCACTTTGCATAATTAACCTGATTAGCACTGTGCATAATCAAACTGATTAGCACTTTGCATAATTAAAAAGAAATAATAATAATAACAATAATAAGCAGTAGGTAATAGCAAAAGCTGCTAGTCCCATTGCCTGTTCGTTAGCTCTAGGAATAGTTTACTGTGGCATACATTATTTCTTAGAACTTTTTTTTTTTTTAAGAGGCACAAGCTCTTGAGGAATACAAGTTAAAAAATTATCATTTATTTTCAGATCGTCAGTGAAAATGCTGGTTGTTCCACATTACAACTTCAGATTCCTTGTAGCTCTCTGTGCTACTGCTGAAGACACGTAATAGGAGGACCACAGAATTGCAGGGGTTGAAAGGGATCTTTAGAGATTATAGAATCCAGCCCCCCTGCTAAAGCAGTATTCCCTATGGCTTGCACACGAAGGCGTCCAGACAGGTCCTGAATGTCTCCATGGAAGGAGACTCTAACATCTCTCTGAGCAGCCTATGCAGTGCTCTGCCACTCTGACAGTAAAGTTCTTCCTTGTGCTTATACGGAACTTCCTGTGTCTGTGTTTGTGCCTGTTGCCCCTTATTCTGTTGTTGCTTGCCACTGAAGAGTCCACCCCTATTGACTTGACTCCCTCATTGTAGATAACAAGATCCCCTTCCTGTCTTCCCTTCTCCAGTCTGAAGAGTCCAAGGTGTCTCATCCCTTCCTCACATGGGAGATGCTCCAGGCCCTTAATCATCTTCGTTACCTTCCACTGGACTGTTTCTAGGAGACCCCTGTCCTTTTTGAACTGGAGAGCCCAGAACTGGATGCATAACTCCAGATGTGGTCTCACCAGAGTAGAGGGCAAAGATCACCTCCCTCAAAGTGCTGGCTCCACCTTTTCAACATGTCTCAGGATACCATATATCCCCACAATATATTTTGAATGCAGAAAGCTGTATTACCCTTATTATCAAGATGGGCAAGGTAGAGACATGTATCCTAGGAAGTAGGAAGTATCCATAGTCATCAAACAGAGGAAGTCTGGAGAGGAACATGGAGTTAATCATACTGCTGCACCTAATCCTGCATTGTTCTTCCCCTGTACGAACATGTTCTTGTCTGCCTAGGTATTTCGAGCTCTTCTTGAGGAATCTACTTCTGGGAGACAAAGTACTGTCTTCGACAGCTAGCCTGTCCTGCCTTCAGTAGGAATATCCCTGGTTAGTGTCTCAGAATACAGATTTTCAGATTCTGAGAGGTAGCTGAAGTTACATGTATAAACTGCAAACTGTGTCAAAACATCTGTGTTAAACGTCTGCATTACTAGTGACTCAGCTCTAGGTTGCTTCCAGATAACCTAGAACAGCAGTGTCCCAAGTGAGCAAATCGTTAACATTTTCTGTTTGCTGATGCTACCTCATACCTCTCTCTCACCACTATGCCCTGTGTCTTGACATACTTTATTAACTTTATCTTTCTCTAGCACCTTCATATTACAGCTCAGATTCTTCTTGCACTCCCATCCTCACCTTACATCTCCTATCTAGATTCTTGGATAGTCCCTATCCAAGAATACCATGCATATTGAAGAATAACTTGAACAGAATGAAGGTATCCTTCTTCTGTATGTGAAATATTCATTGCCAATCTTCCACAGTATCCTTACAATGATGTTGTCTAAACTTCCACATCAGGCAGAAGACTCACAATGTGGTCTCTCTGCTGGTAGCTCAACAGATACAGTTTGGACAAGGGGTAAACAGAGAGTAAAGCTCTGAGTGATCAGTTCATCTGCACTGCAGCTGCTTGGACAGGAACTGCTGCCTCTGGACTAAATGTGACCCAGATGCACTCCACTGCACGGACCTGTTCTAGAACAATGAAAAAAATCCCTATTGATACATTTTTTTTTTCATAAATATTCTCTCATAAAATAAATCAATAAGAAAGTGGACGGAGAGAGTAATAAAAGAGCATCTTGTCATAATTAACTGGAAATGTATTGCTCATGCAGAGGAGTCTCTCCCCTCTCTCATTTCATCACCCCAAACAACAGATCCAATATGAACAGCTAAGGGTGCAGAGCTAGTCCCTCATTTCACAAGTTGTTTAGTTTTTGAAGAAAAGTGTTTCTGTAGAGATTTTTCAAGTCCAAATGTTCCTGAGGAAGGTAGTTCCAGTAATTCTGGGAAGGAAGCCAATCTCTTGGCTTTATATGTAAATATTTAAACAACATTATTTTTATATACTTACATTTTATACACATATACATATATGTCTTAAGGCTTCCAGACTTGCAAAAACGCAACTGAAAAAATATGCCCGAAGTACAGGTATTGGCTCCCCATCCTGAATCATGACAACTGACCATCAGAAACAAAAAGCAATAATGACTTCATAGTAATTGAGCCATGTCATCTATGTACGCTATTCTCTCCAGACAGAAGAACTGACAGATCAGAACTACAGATCCTAAGGTACAGAGATTAAAGTCTTAATTATTTTCTCCTCAGAAGTGGCAAGAATGTAAGGTTCATCAATTATAAATCTTTCAGAGCATAGATGGATGCTGAGTGCTCCACCCATAGGCGTGGGATCTGATCTCCAGCCTTTGAGGACATGTTCCTAGCACTTTAGTGCTCCAGGATGCAGCTTTGTCACATTCAGAAAAGTCACTCTACTTTAGGCTTGAATCAGGTCCATATTTAAAAAGGAATTACTTGGTAGGAAATTCTAGCAAAAGACTGGAAACACACCCAACATTGAGGTTCAGTGAACAAAGTTAAGGAAAAAAAAAAAAGAGGGGTTTATAAAATTGATGTAGATGATTTAGAGAGCATAGTGTACACAGCTAAGGCATATAATGAATAAATCAATCCATGAGAGTAAAATTTACCACATGGATTCCACCTGTATAGACTCAGAAATCAAAAACACACCTTAACACAAAGTACATGCATGTAAATTCATAGCTATACGATTTAAAGTAACCATAAACATTATTTATGAATACAGTATTTACATATCATTTCAAATACGTACATACACACACAGCACAGCCATGTGAGCTCTATGGAAAAGGCCACAGAAGTATACACACATACACACATAAAAATGCATAGAAGCAAGGACCAAGAATAGGGCAAGTCTTAGAAAATGTTTTAATGGTTTTACAAAAAGCCTTCACCCAAAGTTTGAGGGGGTTTTGCAATTTTACATTTTCTATTGCAAAATACACCTGCTTTCTTTTCTTTCTTTTTTCCCCCCTAAACTAAATATTTCTTCCATCTAATGACTCTCTTTATTAGACAGCATCTAATTTGCATACATTTACATACAATTTAACTGCTAGCTTGTGAGAACAAAGAAATGGCTCTGTATTGTACTGAAGGACAATACTCAGAAAAGGAAGGTATAAAAACCAGCTAGCTCGGTGGCTGTGTATTCTCTTTGTTTCAGAAATACCAGGATTTTTAAACACACCACTTAAAGGGTAAGAAAAGATTATTTCATCAAACAATGAGAAAAGATACAGCACAGCTCTCTTTTAACACATTCACTCTCTGGCCTGGTTAATGGGATTTAAGGGTCCAAGATTTCTTTGCTTTCTTCTGTTTCCTTTATTAGAACTGATGGATTTAATTCTGTCACATATTTTACTTCATATTTTATTCCTATAACAATCTATGCTGAAGTTCAGCTCCAATGCTAATTCAATACTATCTTCCTTTCCTACAGTCAGCCTGGAACAGGACTGAATGATCACTGATGGGCTTGAAGTAGTCTGCCTTCAATGCCCAGTGCTAATGGATTTTAGAGTGAGTCTGCCAGAATTTTACCGTGTGGCAACAAGTACTGGGATAATGAAAACTTACCACGTAGCTGTCTGGGAATCAAGAGGAAGAGAAGCAGGGCTTAGCTCCACTTGTGAGAACAGGGAGGGACTGTGGTCAGAGTAAATGGAAGATGCAAGGGATGTGTCAAGCCCTCTAGTTCCCTACAAGAAGAGAAGAAAAGGATCTTTAAGATCTCACAAATGCAAAAGACAAAAAGTTTTAGAAACACTTGGCAGAAGCTCCAATACAAGCCCATCAAAAGCACGATACATCAGCAAAAGCTTTTTCTCCAAAGACTTTGCAGTTGGAGAACCAACTGCAGAGAACGGCTGCAGTTCTAATCCACGTGCAAGTGACACAAAAGTGCTGCAAGAAAAAAAAAAAAAGCAGGATTGCAAGCTGCGTGCTGCACGTTCCCATTTCCCATCAAATGTGCGAAACCTAGAGATGCAGAACCACGTGCCATTTGTTGCTGCCTGCGTAGCGGAGCTGCTGGCTTCATCACCTCACTGTGATACCACCCAAGGTGTGGTAATTTGCATTCAGCGATCATCTGCTAGGTTCTGCTCACCCCAGCCACACTGGCTGTGCAGGCCAGGCAGCAGGCCCAGGGTTGGGGTGACCGGCCTTCTCACAGAGGCCTTGCTGCACAGGAACACTGGCAGGAGAGCTGCACTGCAAGCTGTACCTAGAGGAAACTTGCGCTAGCGCTTCCCTGATGTACCTCACTGGCACTCAAAATACATTATAGATTACTTGCAGACACAAATTTTAATTTAAAGCTGGTTGAAATGTTAATGAAGTTGTAGCTGTTTTTCAAAGGGGAGAATTCCCTACTGCTTACAAAAATGTTTTCTTCCCTTTTTCCCCCCTCCTGTCTGTTCAGCTTCTAATGGTGTACAGCAACCATACCTCATAAAAGAAATTAATCAAGCCTTCACATGTTCCCTTTTCCAAGGATAGAAAGGTTGAGGTGTCATCTTCAGAGTTCATCATGCATACCAAAACACAGGTTTTAGCAAACAGTGAAGAAAGTAAATTTCAAAGCCAAAGTTCATTTAGCTGTCACATACCCTATTTACAGCTTATGCTGCTGACACCACTGGGTTACTATTTCCAGTATGGTACCAATTTCAGTTAATTTAAATTGCTGCAACAATCCTTCCCTTCTCTTGCCTCTTTCCTCTGACACACATGCCTGACCTCATCCTTGAGCCAGAATCAGATAATTTTCTGGTCCAGGAAACTTTCAACCGAATGAAATTTATTTTTTTCTTTTTTCCTTTCTTTCTTTTTTTTTTTTCCCCAGACAATTCAACTTCCAGTCACAAAATTCTGGGGTTACTGCTAAGGAGTCTGCAAAAACGTACACGTGAAGGGACATCAACAGAGAGGCTTCAACATCAGTCAATTTAAGCTTCCATGAACCTACATCTTGAGATGCCTTGGACTGCTTGGTAAAAAGAAAGGTTCCTATCACACCGCTGGAAACCAAAGCAATCACGGTTTTACAGGTTTAAAGAAAAGCCATCACCTCACATGCTAACCTAAAATAAACTGACGGGCTATACAGATCATGCAGAACAGACACACTCTGCTTTGATGAAAAATAGCTTGAGATAATGGTGCACTGCTACAATCTGCACCAGGGGCAATTTCCAAGTGGCAGATTGAATTAGCCTCAAGTGACATGCATTACAGTAATGCTTCCCTGAGGCAATAAGGCAAGGTCCCACATTGAAAAGGAAAGAATGGAGCTTTCTTGCCGAAGGCAAATGATAAAGCGCACGATTAAGAGCCACTGTTACCAGGACATTCAGAAGCTCCTGAAAATCCTTCAAGGACTTCAGAAAATACATTTGGATATAAAGAGCAGAACTTTTCTTTTACATCTCTGCAGTTACGATATTAAGTATCCCTTTTGTTATTTTTTCCCAGAGTACATGCATTAATTCTGGCCAGAGTGGAATCTAAGCTTTCTAACCACCACCATTTCCAAAGTCACTCTGTCCTACCAGCTGTGCAGGAAGTTGCAGGATGCAACTCTGGGTTTCAGATGAATACAGAAGACACTGCAGTCCAAATCTCTTATTTCAGTTTGCTTGCTCTAAGGATAACAGACAATTTGGAGCATTTAATCTCTACACTAAAGAGATCCTATAGCAGTAAATAATCACCCAGCACCATCATCTACAATTTCTTCAGGAGAAGGAGTCACTAATGAACAGCTTCACTAGTCAGTTAACAACCATAGAGGATTCACTGTAACTGGAAGTCACAGTAGCTCAGAAAATTAAAAGAGTCAGTGTGGACACCTGATAGTCATCAGCTCAACAGCCATAGCTGTCTCCTTACGTTTTGCATTAGACCTCAAGGGTGGGATTATCAAAAAGGAGCAATAGCATGATTTTCTTTTCACTAGAATTATGGGGAAATGGTTCTAGTAGAATCTATCAGCAGAACGTTCAGACCCATGCCAAATGTTTTTGAAAATCCTCCCCCTTCGCAGCCTGCGTAGAAAATGGGGAGAAACAGAAGAACAGCACAAAGAATTCCACCAGCTTGTGCCTGGGTAGCAACAAGTTGCAGCTTGTACAATTCTGTCAAGTTAAAGATGCTGAGAATTCCCTTCTAAATACAAACAATATTTCTGAAGCTAGCAAATTCTTTCAAGCATTCACTTTGATTTGATAAATTATATTAAATACAATTCGCCTCGTCAGTATTTTAAAACATGATAGCTAGAGCATGAATAGGTCATTTTTATACATATAACTAAAATCTATCCAGTCGTGTATACAGTGCAGATTATGTATGCAGGCCCACACTCCCCGAGATAACAAAATTACTCAGCTTGCAAACCAAGCCAGTCACAAACTGCGTAGTCGCAGATAGTGAAGTCGAGCCCGAGCCAATCAGTCCTGCTAAGCAGCTGCTATCTCAGTTGCTTATTAGTTCACCAGCACACTAACCACGACCAAAGGTTTCAGATTGGCTTGCAGCACGCACAGAGCAATACCGGGACTGCTTTCAAAACACTGCAGAAATGCAACCACACGTGAATGCTATCAAAGTGAGGAGGTAGGAGAGAAACTCATTTTTAAATTTTCATAAACGATTTAAAAAAAGACCCTGAAGAGAAAGCCCTTACTCTTGAATACAGTAACAGAATTGTGCTGTTTAGTGTCAGAATGCTAAGTTCTATTTTCAATGGGAAAAGTGTATAATCATCTTCTTGATTTGGATAGGTTTTAGGTCAACCTTAGCTACATATAAATGAATGTTCTGCTCAAATTACAGGGTAATTTTAATTAGGACACCTTGTTAGACATCCTGTTGTTTTCTGTAATGGACTTTCTCAATTATGAGAAGGAACACCTCTCCATTCACCTGTGACTCAAGTTAAGGTAAAGATTATGCTGAATAAATATACAAAGAAAAATATTTATCCTGCAATAGATATCTTTATTTCTGTTGATCTTTATTTGGCAACTTCCATATTAAAAAGGCAGGCTCCAGAATTCAGCACCCATTACACACCTGTTTAAAAACCACTTGAAGCACCGGAACCAGCCAAATGCATCTCAATTCCACAGAAACGTTGGCACTGTTGTCCCAAGTAAGGAACACCCATTGCCATTTGCTCTCATTAGGTTAAATAAGTTTCCTGGGACATACTGAATTCCTGATTATGTGCATTGCAAATAGACGGAGAGCAACAACAATAAAATTCAGCTCAGCACAGCCTTCTGTCCAGTCATCAAGCACAGCATATGGGGAGAACGAAGCTCTGGGAAGTGCCCAGGAGCTGTGTGCAGCACACATTACAGTTCACTCTTCTGGCAAGAACCCGCTTGGTTCACATGACTGAGAGATACAGGCTAGGATTCCTTCTCAAAAACAGTCAGTGAGATTAAGAGCCGACTCTCTGTTCCCAAGCACTTCTTTGTCTGTACTTGAAATTACTTTATCTTACATGATTTTATTTGTTAGTCAGAATCATGATATGTTAGTTTCTATATTCAATTCGGTGTTAAATCCGTCACTGATTGCTTGATTTCGTAGGAGTTTGCTGATGGAATGACAAGCCCAGAAAACAAAATCTTTGTACATAGATCAGGCAGGGTACTGCAAGCTTCAAAATATTTTTGTCAACTTATTTTAAGTGTCTTCCAGAGGGACCAACCACATGGCTAACAGAAGAATCTTGTCTCTGTCATCCATTTAACCCACTGGCCTCTGTCAAGGATGCAGACATGCTTGCCAATAAGTGACAAGTCGAGTGGTCTTTTTCCAAAAACTCAACAATACATTTCAGGGTGGTGCCATTAGAAAGCCAATAGACAGAATCAAAGCAGAGTAGTAGCGATTAAGAAGTCTGGAATAGTTCTAATATCCATGCTCAATCCTCTATAATCCCACTTCATTATCAATTTATTAACTTCCTTTGTTGTCCTTTCTGTCATCCAACTGTGCTAGTCACTAATATATCTTAATTTTGAAAGTGCTCTACACCATGAACGCAAAAAGTAAGCATCCTACACACAAGATTGATCAGCTAACTGTATCCAAGTAAAGGATGTACAATCTCAAAACTAAAAACTTAAAGATATAAGATAGTTCAGCACTGTAAACACTGCTTAGTTTGTAACTCACGTGTCTGGGATGTTAGTAGGCTGGGGAAAGAAAAAATATTAAACACTTTTCATTTTTGCCATGCAGATTTCATATGAACATAAATACTGTTTATTTTCTTGTACTATTTGTACTTAGTGTAGAATTCACAATTATTTAGTGCCTACAACAGTAAATAAGTATTAATACATGAAATAAAGTGTTTTGGGAATAAGATATCAGCTATCATTAGCTACTGACCTAAAATTATATTTATTTTCAAGACAACTGTAGGAGTGGAAAAAGCTTTTCTGTTCTGCCTAGTTGTGAAAGGTACCAAGAAATCCTAAGACAGCTGCTTGCACGTTCAGCCTTTGCATGTGTTGGTTTGGGTTTTTTTTTTGTATTTGTCAATTTTTGTTACCAATAAAATATATATTTTTTCATAGAAACAATACTTTCTGACTTTCTATTGTGCTTTACATACAAATCCATGGGTGCTGTATCTCAAGAACAGCTTCCCTTCCATACTCCTACTAATCTTAAT